TAGGGAAAGTTTCAGCAACTTAATGTTTGCTGCAACAGCAGATGATTCATTCTAACTAGGCTAGAACTCAGGGGCTCTTTGTTAAAAGTGGTCTTTACACTACAGAGTGGATTGTACAGGAAGGTTGCAAGGTACAACTAACTAATCTGGAGAAGGTCAAGCAGGTACTCACTGAGTTCAGGAGGCCAGTACAGAAGAAGCAGGTAGAGGCCTGGAGCCTTAATTGCTCAGATTAGCACTACTTTGATTGCTAGCAATCTTACTGGAGCAGCATAAGGGAGCAAAAGGGGCAAAAGCCACAGAAGATCCAAAACCTTTCAACTGAGGGTGAAGCATATTTGTAAAGGTAACACTCCATGTACTCTTGCCCTGTATCGATAGCATCTTTGAGTGCTATCCTTCCAGGTTTCCCCCAGAAAGCTGACTCCTGGATGAAACTAACAGGCAGGAGATTCTACCCCTTAAAACTGATCCGATCGCCCGAAAATGAAATTGACAAGGATCATTGGAACCTTTAGTTAATGAAGCGGTATATAAATACAATAAATGAAGCTTGAGACTCTTGGCAAAAAGCAATATGGGAAGTGGCCCATTGCATGCAACCTAACAGGCTGGGGACGCTAACAGAGTGGCTTTCCTACTTGGTTAGTAGAAGAAATAAGAACAGCATTCCTTAACAGTGCAGAATTCTGTACATTGTACACTGCTACTTTTGACCCGACTGTGGACTGTCAGCAGTATGGTGACGCTTGCCTTTCCCCCTCTTCATTCCATTGGAAGAATATCTCCATTAACAAGAAGACCTGAATCACTGTGGATGAGTCATACGTCTCATTCATTCAGCCCACTGGAACCTAAAAAGGAGGGCTCCAAATGTCTGTCAAAGCAGAGATGAGTTACTTACATAATTAGGCACACACAGAAGAAGAGATAGTCAAAGAATGGCATTATCCAAGGAAAGTTAAACTCAGGAAAACCATTATTAGAATCCAGAGACTTTTTTAACAAAGTGAAAATATGATCATTAAATTACAAAATCAGGTATATTAAGCACATAATTAACACACGAAATACAAAGGTGTATTACTTGATCCTTTTGTGAATATGGGGGGGGGGGGAGGCGTTTTGCATGGTCCATGGTCTGATTTCCTTTTATAGGACCTGCACTTCACACCTCAAATGTCACAAAGGAAATATCCCACTTTCGGGGGGGGGGGAGGCGTTTTGCATGGTCTGATTTCCTTTTATAGGACCTGCACTTCACACCTCAAATGTCACAAAGGAAATATCCCACTTTCCTCCCACTTCCAGTTCTAGGTAAGATGTTACATCCTAAGGAAGGAAACGCACATCATATGAGACAATAATTGTCACCTTTTCTAAAAGTGCTTCTTTATACCAGAAATGAGACTATAAGCACAGGTGCATTGGGTGCTTTTTTACGTTTTAGGTTCTTCTTCACCAATGTATTCAAAGAAAGCTGTTGACAAACAACCTTTTTTGCTCGTCACAAAAGCTTTTTTATCGTTTCTTCTTTGTTTCTTTCTTTGGTTTCTTGTTTGCTGATGCAGCAGCAGCTTTGGTTTTTTTCACCACTTCTGAGCTTTTCGATTCGAAGCCTTCTGTGTCCTACAACAGTTTGGTAAGGAAGACAAAGTCAACAGCAGTTTCCTGTGTCTACTTCTCACATCATCACAGGGTACTTTCACATGGAATGAACTTTTGGGGGCTTCTCTTACGCTGTTTGTCAACACACACAAAGATTGTTAGCATGGGATACAAAATGGAGGAGAACCATGTTCCAGACAAAATTCAAGGTACTGTTTCTGACCTTTAAAGTATTATGCCACTTGGGACCAGCATATGTGAAGGACTGCCTACTCCCATATGAACTTACCCCAACCCCATATCTTTGGAAGCCTTGCTTCAGGTGCCCCCACTATCTGAGTCCAGATGGGTGAAAACTCAATAAAGGGCCTTTTTGGTTGTGGTGTCAAAACTCTGGAACTCCCTCCTGAGGGAGATTTGTCTGCCTCCCTATATCGGTGTCTTCCACCAGTGGGTGAAGACTTGTTTTGTTTGGCATCCCCCCATGAGCTGTTATTGGCCTTCCTCCCTGGTTGTCTTGTCACGTGTGTTCATAGGTTTCACTTAATTGTTCGAATATTTTATAAAATACCTTAAATGCCATTCTAATGTCTTGAAGTTTTGATGCCATTTTGGGGGCTCTATTTGGGTTGTAAAGTGGCACAGAAATGTTCTAAATAAACATTAAAATCAAATGTAAATTCTAGCCACGGTATGTTGCAGTTATGTCGCTTACAGGGGAAATGAAAAAAAAAAAGTAATGCAGCCTGATCGTATGTACTTTTACTTGGAAGCAAATCCCATGGAGTTCAGGGGTGTTTATTCTCAAAAGAGTAAGAGTCCAGTAGTACCTTAAAGGCTAACACATTTTGTGGCAGGGTATGAGCTTTCATGAGTCTTTAAGGTGCTACTGGACTCTTTTCTACTGCTACAGACAGACTAACATGGCTACCCATCTTGATCTGTTCCCAAGAAAGACAGCCAATGTGGTATGCTGGTTAGAGTACTGGACTAGGATCTGGGAGACCCAGGTTCAAATCCCCATTCTGCTATGAAGCTCTCTGGGTGACCCTGGGCCAGTCACTCTCTCTCAGCCTAACCTACCTCACAGGGTAGTCGTCAGAATAAAATGGAGGCAGGGAATCCATGTAAACAACACCCTGAGCTCTTCAGAGGAAGGGAAGGACAAAAATGCAATAAACAGATTCCATGCCAGGCAAAAGTGTTTGGGCCTCTTTAACACCATGTTATTGTTTTGTTTGTCACTAAAACAATGCCCTAACCCAGGGGTGTCGAACTCATTCGTTATGAGGGCCGGATCTGACGTAAATGAGACCTTGTTGGGCTGGGCCATGTGTGCCATAAAATGTAATGCCAGGTAGCAGAGATATAAACTTTATAAAGGACACAAACACAAAGGGTGTTGTTGTTTTACTTAAAATAAAAACATGTTTAAAACATTAGCACTCTTGCAATATTTTGTTTATTTAACAGTGTCTGATAACTGACACCTCTTGCTCTGAATTACTGCATCAAAATGTCTGTGCTGTTGCAATCCTGAGTATGCCGTTCAGGTGTGTATCTGTAAGCTGCAAACCTACGATGACGCAGCAGCAGCAGAACTAGAAGAAGAAGCAGGAGACAGCCAGTTCCACTGCGGGCCTGAGAGAAGCCCTCTGGGGGCCTGATCCAGCCCCGGGGCCGTATGTTTGACACCCATGCCCTAACCTATTCAGCAGCATGTGTGCATAAGAGATCTGATGGGAAGGGCTGTCAAGTTGCAGCTGACTTATGGTCACCCTGTAGGCTTTTCAAGGCAAGAGATGAATAAAGGTGGTTTGTCACTGCTTGCCTCTGTGTAACAACCCTGGACTTCCTTAGTGGCTTCCCATCCAAATACTAACCAGGTTTGATCCTGCTTAGCTTTTGAGATCTGACAAATAACAGACCTGGGGGGGGAGGGGGAAACCAATGGATTGCATCCAGCCAACTATTTAAACTCAATCTCACCTAATTCACCTCCTTATTACAACTTTTTTCCATGACCTGATCCCCCAGCAAGGCTTTTTGGGTGGCCAAAGGGGACCACTTCCTCCTCTTTTTCACCAGTAATAAATTTGGTTCGATCCACCCTGTAAACTTCGGAATTCCAAGTCAATATGCAAATCTCCAGAGAGGTTTTCTAAATTTATTTATTTACATTATTTTTAAAGTCTGCCTTTCTCACAGGAACTCAAGGCAGATTACTCATAATGAATCAGTACAATCAACAAAATGGGACATTTAATAACCAATGCATTAGGATTTTCAGAAGTCTGGAACCACCAGAAAGAACTGAAGCACAGCATGTGACACATTAAGCAGTACAAAAATCACATAATAGGAACATAGCAGCACAGACCACAATCATTTATCCAAGTAAGTCTGTGAACCATTTTGTGCAGTGTAACCTTGGATCAAAGGCTCCTTGATCCAGGTGAGTTTCAGTGCACAGGAGTGTCACGGAGTTCAACACTTAAAAAAAACCTGTCTGTTCAGGCTACCAACGCAAAATAATACGAAATTAAAAACCCTGAAAGGAAGGCTCTGTTTCCACCCCAACATCTTTTATCAAGAACAAGAGAGTGGGAGGCATCCTCAATTTGTGTAAGAGTTACAATTTTGTACAGTAATAAAAAGCCTTTCGTATATTACCTTTTTTTAGCAGGACTGTCTTACATTCAGGGCCATCTTCCGTTCAGGGAAATATTCTAGTTAACTTGAAATGGCAACCAAAGAGAACGATTTCTGCTGGATTCCCTTGACGCTAAACAGTCTAATTTCCCCCCCCCCTTGGAAATTTGAAAAAAATTCTGTTCCCCCAACCCCCCCCCCCCCCGCCCCAGCAACTGTTTCACTGTCATCTGTCAGAGGCAATAACAGAAAAACATTTCTTCTCTGGGAACCAAAAACTCATCATCTCATTAAACATTTTTAAAAATTCCACACATGCATGGGAGAAGAGCCAGGCTCCTGGGAAAAACCGCATGCACGCGCAGATTGCTTCCTCTCATTAAACAGGCTTTGGTATAAATATTTTTTCAGGCTTCTAGAGATTCTCAGATTCCATGTGAGCCAACTGGAAAAGGCCATTTAAAAATGGCAGTGAGAAGTATGTGATAATCCCCCATGCTTGTAAGAAAACGGCACAGTGAAAGGGGGGGGGGACAGCTGACAGCGTCTTTATCATTCATGAGCTTGGTTCAAGCCTTTCTCAAGTTACAGGGCTATTGTCATTCACATCCATGAGGCCTTCTGAGAAAGGAGACTTGGCTCGCTTCCTAAAGGATGTGATTCACCCATAGGAAGCTGGCCAAAAGAGCGCCAGTGCTCTAGAGAACTGGAGCAATAGACTTCCATTATCCAGAGACTCAAAGTTCACAGTCACTGCAAGGAAATCACTATTGCCTTCTAATGTTCAGTCCAAGGCAAGCTTCCAAAGCCTGATTGCTCTGCAAACAGTGAGGTCACTTAGAATATGAAACAGATTGAAGAGAGCAGTGTTGCTAACCTGACTAGGGAGCATTCCACCTTGTTTATTAGCTTGCTAAACCCAATCAGAAACAAATGAGCAAGCAGAGCGCAATGTGACCATTCCCTCTCCACCCATGGATACTCTCACAGATCTTTCAAATCCCTGGCTCTAAAGATGTCCAGCTGTCCTCAATCAGAGCCAGGGCCTTTTCGGTCCTGGCCCCAACCTGGTGGAACTCTCTGTCTAATACCACCAGGGCCCTGCAGGATTGTATACACATCCACAGGGCCTGTAAGGCAGAGATATTCTGCCAGGCTTTTGGTTGAGGACGGCAACGGTTTTCTAATGTGGCAGGCAGTCCAAAATCAGGATGTAATTTCTAGGGATACCATCTTGGACTTCTTTTTAACCTGGTCTTCTTTTAACTCTCTTCTTTTAATTTTGTTATGACTGGAATGTTAATGTTTTGTATATCTGTTTTATGGCTCTATGCCTTTTTGTTGTACATCGCCTAGAGCTCTGTACAAGCAGGGATAAGGAGATTAACAAATAAAATCAATCAAGGGGCTTGCTTTTTCCCATTTTATAGTAATTATCCATAGATGATATTGGAAGATTTCTCCATCAAAAGGTGGTTGTACCCATGAAAAATAGTTGCGCAGGTTTGTACAGTACAACTAGCTATTCTCAAATACTTTAAGGCCATGTTGCGGATTTACCAGTACTGGTTTGAGAGAAGGACAAACTCATACTGCAAGTTGAGGTCCCAGTTTATATTCACTGCAGATAAGTATTTGGCACAGACTACGGCCTAGTCAAATTATGCAGTCGAGTTTCCCGCATTTGGGGAAATCGCAGGGGTCAGCACACCGGGAGTGCAATGGATGAGCCTCACCCTGGAGAAGGAAATGGCAACCCACTCCAGTATTTTTTCCAAGAAAACCCCATGGACAGTATCAAAAGGCTAAAAGATATGACATCGGAAGATGAGCCCCTCAGGTCGGAAGGTGTCCAATATGCTACTGGGGAAGAGCAGAGGGCAAGTATAAGTAACCCCAGAAAGAGTGAAGCGGCTGGGCCACAGCCGAAAGGACACTCAGTTGTGGATGTGTCTGATGGTGAAAGGAAAGTCCGATGCTGCAAAGAACAATACTGCATAGGAACCTGGAATGTAAGATCTATGAATCAAGGTAAGCTTGACATGGTCAAAAATAAAATGGCAAGACTGAACATTGATCTCTTAGGAATCAGTGAACTAAAGTGGACAGGAATGGGCGAATTTAACTCAGAAGACCCTTATATCTACTACTGTGGCCAGGAATCTCGTAGAAAAAATTGTGTGGCCTTTATAGTCAACAAGAGAGTGCAAAAGTCAGTACTGGGATACAATCTCAAAAATGACAGAATGATTTCTGTCCGATTCCAAGGCAAACCATTCAACATCACAGTAATCCAAGTCTATGCCCCAACCACTGATGCAGAAGAGGCTGAAGTGGACCGGTTCTATGAAGACCTACAACACCTCCTA